ACCACAACGTCTAGCACTTATCTCGCTCCAGAAAAACCACATGTTTACACAAGCCTCAATTAGTAAGAGCTCTAATGCGAAAGTCGGATTATTTATTAGCCAAAATAAATAATTTTCTACGAAAATGCTTTCTTTTATGGTTTCGCTTTTGGGCCGATGACAGGTTTATTGAAAATGGTTATGAAAAGGTGATTTGTTTGCCCCCTTCTCGAATAATATCTCACTCGGAATGTATTCTTGATTGATAAACAACTGACGGTTCTTCTAGTGAAAGAAGCGAGTGTTCTTATCATTTTGAATATATTCAAGGTATTACTTATGGCCCACACAACATCTACTATTTTCGACTTGTATCGACTCTTAATACATCGTTGATGATGCTGAGATAAAATTAATGGGTTTATGTGATTCGGTCGAGATCGTAAGGACAGGAATTTATTGAAAACAATGCGAAGGCAGAAATGGGAATCAATCTAAAAAAGGAAATGATAGGCACACCTAGTCTCCTAGAAAGGGTCTATACTATTAAATCCTTTGGTTGAAATCAGCGATTACGATCATTATTTAAATTCGTTAATAGCGTTTTCTCAATATTTATTTTTATACTAGGAAACTAGTGGAAATCCTCAACTGGAAACGAAAAATTTCATTGAAAAATGTTATAAATCTCAAAAAGAATCGATATTGTGCGTTGACATCTATATGACAGTTTATTGTAAAAGCCTGCAATATTACAAACTACACAACGGAAAATGTTCCTCAATTTGGGTTATCAAAGCAAATGCAAGTTTGAACAAAATAAAGTTGAGTTCCATTCATGAGTTTTTCAAATTCGCTTCGAAAAGTATTTAAATTGACGTTTCAAATGTTGGGTTTTAATTTTTAAAGGGATTTGTGTCTAATTCACATATTGGCAACAGCGTCTAGAACTTTACCTGCCATTCCTAAAAATATTTTACCTTGCATATAATATATCAAGTTGAAATAATAGATATTCTACTTTAAAAAAGGAAAATTATCTTTATAAATCAACAGTTAAGGCAAAATATAAATTATAGTTCAACACCAACTCCACAAGCCACATAAACAACAGTTGTTTTGTTATTTATTTATATAGAGGAAGATAGGTTAGGTGCACAAAATGTCATGTCACAGAATGTCTCGGAACTCGGAACATAAGTAAAAAACAGAACAGCACGCCTCTGAAATATGTCATCTTTGTTTGTCTCATACAGGTAACAGAATCATTGTCCTTTATTAGCTATAATCGATGTTGCCAAATGGTGGAATAGAAACGAATCCCTTTAAATGTTGAATGCATTATTTCATTCCTCTTTTTTAAGTATTTAAATAATTTTTTAAAGAAAAAGGTTGAAATGAGAAGTTTAAAATGCGTTGTTTTAGAGCTCTTTCATGAAAACTACTTGATTTTCGTCATTATGGTGTTAACCACGGTCAATTTTTTTGAAGAGTAAAATAATTTTCAAAATTTTTGTGCAAAGTTATTTTTATTTTTTGTTAACATCGAAAATTACTCAAAATCATACAGTATTGTAAAAAGAACTCAATATTCAATAATGTCAAACCACGAAACATCAAAATAGAACACTGAAAAAACGTTCTGTTTATATCTTCATGTCTAGAAACATATACAACAGAAATTATGATGAGTAGGAATAACATAATTTGAAAAAATATGTTTTCCTTCAACTAGCTGTCGTACCCGTACGAACGAAAACCCTCAGAAGCTAAGGACCTACGAGGTATTGCCTTTTAACGTGTGATTCCTACCACGGGTTGGACGATAGCGAGTGAAAATCAATCGTTTAGCCTGCTTATCTTCTAAAAACTTGCATGATTGTTCACTTTTAATAATTCCATTGGAAATCAAGAGTAAATATGAACATATGCTTGCAAAATGTTGTGATATGATATCTGAGGCTTTAGTTTTATTTTTCTTATTTGGGGTCTGTTGAAAAAATGAAGTGAATTTTCATCCACCTCAAAAATATGTATTTATTCATTAATTTCTGTTTCGTCCCTTTTGATCCTTTCAAAGCGAATCTGGATTGCCGTTGAATGACGTCAACGGCAATATGTTCTTTTATTCTCTGCGGGAAGGTTCTTGCCGTTTGGCCAATATAAATTTCCGGACAAAACCACAAGAGCCAATTTATATACTTCTGATCTATCCACCAACAGTTGAAGTTTCGTCATCATTATCTTCTCTTAATTTGTTTGGATCATTTTACGCCTTTCCTTTGGTTTGCACAACTGATATCTAGCTAGCAAAGGACTCAACGAGTTTCCTTTCCAATTACTAGACAACATTTAGCTGCACGAGTAAAACTTTATATTGAAATTGAAAATGATGTCGAAGCAGACAAATGGTGAGTAGGTTTATAATTTTTTTTACCACAGAATTAACGTGGCTTCTGTCCAAGAGACGCTCGACCAGCCCAATTGTTTCAATTGTTGATTAGTAATATTCTATGAGTCTTCTATGAATCTCTTTCGAATATATTTTGAATGTCCTTAAAATGTGTAAAATTGTATTCTGTAGATATTCTATACGTAGTATAGAATTGATTTGCTGGTGGATATTTCGTGCACTCAAAAACTCCAAGAATACATCACTGCGTTCAATGTTTGAAATTGAAGAGAATCATTAGTGACATGCACATTCCAAGTGCATTGAAGGAGATAGAAATCAACGTGCATCACTCGCAAATGCGTCTCTTCCTTTGAAGGTACTTGATTGATTGTACTTGCATTTTTGTGTAATCAAAAACTCATTCAGAAAGGTACACCGATACGAGTCCATATATTTTACAGCGAACCTCACATCATGAGTTATCAATGGCAGTAGCTGATTCGCCAATTCAAATTGATCGTTTAAAACAATTTGGGAAAATTAACGTGTTAATAATCTATTTATAATTTATGTGCGGATCTGATTACATGCGAATTTGATTACATGCGAATTTGATTTACACAGTAATGCAAAAATTTATAACGTCAAAAATGACTGTCGTGAATTCAATTGATGAAGAGCGAACATTAGGAATCAAAGCCAATTTTTTACTCAGAATGAATTACTTTTCTATGAATAGATTTCGCAGAAAATCGTTGTTATTATTCAATTGTTCTAACAACTGTACAAAGAGCAAAGAAAACCATGTTTTCATAATATTGTTTATACAGAAATGAATACTACGGTTGCCTGTATTCAATGTTGTTTGGAGGTTACAAAATTCAAAATGTGTGATAAACTAGTATGAATGAAATCTTCGGGTGATTGATTACTCAATTTAAATGATCTAGATTGATACTTCATCAAATAGTTGGTTGGCTACTTTGTCATTAGTGTCAGTTGTCGTATGCCATTGATGTTTGGTACTGCTTATTTTGACGTTTTGTTTGACAGTCGTTTTCATTGTATTCGTTCTCCTTTGAGTTTCTTCGATATTAATTCGAAGTGATATCGGTACCAATCAACATGACAACTTAATCACAATTATTCGATAGGTTAGATTGTCCGACATATATTCAATACCATATATTCAAAAAAGAGATAAAAAACATTCCATGAATGTATTACTATTACGATATGTATATATTTCCTATATTCAACACTTCCATTCCAAAATTATTTATTGTGTCCTGTTATTGGGTGTAGATCTATCAATGACAGATACACTAAGTAGTCAACTCAAAATAATGATTGTGTTCAATATAAACAGTTTTTTGAATAAGTGTAACTGGTAATATTAATGTACAAAAATAATGATAACATAATGGTTATCGAAGATAATACTTTGGGAAAAACATAAGTGACCTAGAAAACGATTCCACACTGTTTCCATAAAAAATTATGATTGTAGGGCATACCAGCATCCCATTGATGTTAATCAACTGTTGCTAATAATAATAATGTTTTGGAAAAGAATACTCAGATAGTGAAATAATGGTTATCACAGATAATACTTCGCAAAAACGCTCAATTCTTTCGAAAACCGTTCCCACAAAGACAGTGATTACCCAGCACACCTTCAGAGTTCCCAAATTGATACCTCTTTTGAAAACACCATGAAAGCGAGTCAATTTGGCCTTTAAAAAACCCACAATTACCCCTCTGAAGCCTCCGTTCGTGTGTCATTTCGGTTCAGGCCCTGCATTTATCTCAAATTGGTGTAATCCGAATGACAACCGAAATTACATAGGTTTCTATTGCCATTAAGTTGTCGTCAGAGTAGTCCTTTAAAACAGAGTTTACACCTCGAAAGACGACCGTTCGATCTTTCGAATAAATAGCTATAATTATTATAAAACGTGGATAAAAAGCTGGGCCGTGGCACGTGGATTTAGGGCGTTTTTAACCACTGTGTAATTACACTGTACCGAAAAGGTCCACCTTTATCGAGGGCTTTCGATCAAGCTCCCTGAGTTTTTCGTATTATAACTTCTCCTCCAAATAACAGGGTACCTCGCTTTCTTGCGGTTGTTCCACTGTTTTTATTAAATGTCGGCCAAACTCCCAGTCGCTACCATCATCCCATTATAGAGCTAGTCATTTTATCTCGCGATAATGATGATGATGAGCTCAGGTATATTATGTTTCAGGAAATTAGTCAGAGACAGCGTGGCAGATTATTAATCGGGCGTTTTTAGATTATTATTCAATAAGCGCTAAACATAGATTCTGTGTCAACATAAACCAGTTGGATTTTATTAAATAAAAGTCACAAAAATCAATATATCTCCAGAATATGTACAATAAAGGAAGATAAAAGAGCTTTCATACTGTCTACCGCAGTAGTGGGAGAAATTGCATAAGAACCTTCGGACCACGGCCAAAAAACCCGGAAAATAGCTTTCACACATGAATAGTGTTATTCATTTTCATCATAACGAGTCAGTGTATTCAAAATTCCAAATAGATCTATTTTTAATAAAACCAACCACTTCATTATGTTTCAACTGAATTTTGTTTGTTACAGATACGACAAGAAAAACCTTATTATTTAGCAGACCCAGAAGTAGACTCCCTTGTAAGTACAATTTTCATAGACAACACTTAGATTTAAGAGCATGATATGTTTAGGTTCAACTACCACGTGTCTGATATATTTCTTAATGACTGTCCTAAGAATTATTCGACCCAGTGAAGATAAAGACGAAAAGAGAAGATTAGGCCTAAAACAGAGCCTCGGTGCATACCAGTTCTACCTAGCTTCATGTATGTCACTTCGACAAAATATCTCCCAGCACTTATAAATGCTGTCAACTTTACTTTTTCGAGGTCACTATAGAACTTTGACACCGCCTCACTGATGATATCTGAATAAATTTGATCACGACGTGGGCAGATCTCTTTAATTTAGTGTAAACCATATGCGTTCGAACAACCTGGTCGCATGTTGCTCTGAAGATGTACCTCCGAATTAATTTATGTATAAACCGACTCATCAATAATTTAAATAGACTCCTCAGCTCCGATTTGCAATTCAATTTATGAAAGCAGAAAAACGTATGCCGTTGTAGAAATGTTGATTTCATTTTCGTTTTGGGGACATCAAATTTTATTTATGACCGACGGTAGAACGTCGAATTCGTCAAACTCATGACAAAGAAACGTTTATATATGTCGAGGATGGTTGATATTCTTTTTTTAGATTCAACCTTCCGCTACGCTATCTAGGTAAAAAAGTGACTGGTCCAGTGACAGCGCCAGAGAATGGGTTTTATAATAAAAAGATTAGTTCTGTTGAATCGGTTTCTGTGAGAATAGTGGAAAACTGAACTCAAAATATAAATAAAGGATATTGAACTGTGAAGTAGAACGTTTTCTTTGAAACGTTGAACGAAAGAAGCAGATATAATGCGTCACAAACCAGGATGGAGACACATTGCATTTCACCTACTGTCTTCATGAGGACATTGCAGAAACTCATAAAAAATTATTGTAGTTTCAACTAATCTTTCATCCAATAGTTCAGTATTGGTAGTAATCCTTCATTCTATTGAGGTTCTCTCAATTGTGCCATATCAAACCGTTCTCATCTAAGAAACATGCTCCGCGTGTTCTTTGAACCAAGTTTCAGTAGCTTGCTTTGTCTGACCAAAGCATATTCTGTGGCGGGTTCCTTCCCACAGCTTGTTTCATAAATTCTACAACCATCTTGTTCATATCTGATGTGTTTGTATTGTATTTCACAACTATCTTTCAAAAATCTACTATAAATTTCTTCTATGTAAACCTTCCTAGCTATAGAATTTTTGTGAAAAATGTTTAGTTAGCCACTATATTTTTTATCGTCCAATAGCAAATCAGTTGAAAAGTATCTTTCCCAAGTATTCCACTACTAAACATTGTAGAAAGTACAAAATGCTTTCAAAATATATTTTTAAATTGTTAGATTACTGAAATTTTCGGGAACTAGTGCTTTGCAATTTTTCCAAGCACTAACAATAAAAATATGTGAGACCTGAAAATCACAATTGGAAAATCACTATTATTAAAGAGCAGTGAAAAAAGTCATTCATGAATCATTGAAATGTGACAGGGGTATTTTTTAAACCAAACGGCATTTGTCTCATTTGAAAATTTTTCAAAAATCAGTCAAAACTCCTCACCTTTTTGGACTTTCACAAAGCTGAATTTTCCATGCTATAAGCTTTAGACAAACGAATGTATTACCTTATCATAGATTCTTGTTGAGTTTTGGTCTTTCTTGAAATCACAAAATGTGATTTCAGTTCTTTCACACTCGCTTCTGCATTCGACCAAATGAGTTGCAGCTGAGAAACGACAACGTTAGGCGAATTGTGACACCCTATATTTCAGCAGCGCCATCTTAAGGTCATTTGTAAAATCTCAAAAAGAAATCCTCTCGCCCTATTCTGAATGACAGATATCCTGTAATTTTAGATATTTTTTTCTGGAAACAAATTGGATTTGTTGATTGCTAACTCAATGCATTCTTCTTCATCTCTGTGATCGAGTTCTTCAACAAAATCTTTTCGTGGATGACCAAATACTCTGTTGATTGTCACTTTCAAAACTCGAGAGGAGAATTTGCGGCTTCTTTCTCCGCAGCTGGTTGTACCGTCACGTGACCTTGTAACATAAACGGGCTGCTAGATGGAAATGTCGACGGATATCTGATGTAAATAAAACTACTCGGGTATCAGGGGTAGCCATAGAGGCGATACAATTGAAAACTATGAAGCCGGTTGCGATTTTTGAGAAATCACTTCCTAAGATTGTGAATTTGTTGCATGTCGATTGTATGTGCTTTAGGAGGTTTTATCGGAAATAATGGCCACTTGATTAGATATGCGTGATACAACTTAATGTTTATGCACGACATTTGACGACAGGGTTGTACTGAGAATTTGAAATTAATGTGCTTCTTGAAATTAGATAAATTAGATATACTCAGTTAGGCACATACAAACTTTTTCCCATTTTGCAAAAACAAAACAAAATTGTTGCTTAATAGCTTGAGTAAAGGAAATTTATGAATTAGAAAAATTAATAAATTGTAAAACTAAAATTCGAAACTCATTTGTTATGCGCAGAAAGTACAATATGTTCAAAAAATATGTTTTGAATTTCGATTTTTTTTTAAATTAGTGCTTCAAAATTATTTCAAACGCCAAGAACTAAAATCTGTGAAATATTTTTTTATTGTATATCAACGACTTATTGGAAAACATGAAGAATCCAATACAATGCTTTGCTGACGACAGCACACTTTCCTCGTCATTCCATTTGGATTCCAGCACATCTTCATCGGTATCTCCTATGAACCGGATATAATAATGGCAGGCCAGACAATTCCGCTTTCTGCTTCGATGAGTTTGTTTGGGGTTGAAATGGAGACCAATATGTCTTGGAACAATCATGTCGCTGGAATTGCAAATGTTGCTTCTCAAAAGCTTGGAGCACTGTTCCGAACCAGAAAACTGTACACACCTCAGCAACTTTCAATGCTTTATCAGATCAAATCAGACCTTCTTTGGAGTATTGTTCCCATGTATGGGGCTCTACCCCTAAGCATCCCCTGAAGATGTTGGATTATATCCAGAAAAAAGCCAGTCGCCTGATTGGAGACATCACTCGCAACCTTGATAGTCTAGAACACCGAAGAAAGGTTGGGGATATGTCTCTTTTTATATATACATTCACGGGAGATGTTCAAGTAACTTGGCACATTTGATTCCACCAAGATCGGTACATATCAGAAATACGGGACGGATTGTGGCTTCTCATCGTTATGAGGTTCAACTCAGTACACCTTGAACTCCACTGTTAGAGAACTCTTTCATTTGGAGAACTGCGTGTATTTGGAATAAACTTCCGGAGAATTTTTTTCTAAACGAATTTAATCTTCAGCGATTCGAAACCAATGTGGATCATTTTCGCACAGGCATTAGTCTTGGAATGCCTTGAAGATTTTCTGGTAGTGCTTGTGTTTCGTATTTAAAAAAATCACAATTGGAAAATCACTATTATTAACAGCTGTAAACGAAAAGGCATTCATAAATCGTTGAAATGTGGCAGGTGTATTATTGATACCAAAAGGCATTCGTCCCAATTGAAAATTTAAAATAAATAGTCAATATTCTCTACTTTTCTTGACTTTCAGAAAGCTGAACTTTTCATATTGTAAACTTTGGACATACGAATGTATTACCTTATCTAAAGATAATGAGAAATGAAGTGATAATGAATACAACCGGTTATTATTTGTAAATGATGATCTACATTATACTTCAATGCTCGTTACATTATTTAGAATATATCATAACGACTTGAAAAATGCAAACGACCAGAAAATGCATATCTTTCAGTCATTATAATAATTGTATCGTTATAAAATACACGAGTTGGAATTTAATTCAGACGTTTTTTAATTGTACTGATAATCACTACTGACGATTTCATTTCGCATATTTACCGCGTGTTCACTGATCCACTACGAGTTATCCTCAATTGTTCAAGAACTATTTCTCATTCGTAATAGTTGAAGACTTCAAAAAGTCTCTAGACAGGTGATTTCAGACATATAAATTATACGATCTAACATAGTTCTAGTGATATAAGTTATATAGTAGTTGAAATTGTAAAAAAGTATCTTACGTAGCAAACATTTCGTCAGGCGATAATCCACAATGAAAATTTCATGGCTGAAACACCACCTAAGAAATCGCGGTTAATTTAGACCACCCACACACCTATTTAGGGTCACAGGTCGAGTAAAACCTGACCATGAAGATTGTTAAAATCGCCAGTGTTGTGTGGCACCCCAAACTGCTGCCAACAACTCGAAACATCACGGCCAGGGCCAAAAGATCTGTAACAAAACTGATTGGAATGGTATATTAAACAGCAACAACTCATAAAAATGTCATGGCTTTCGAATGATTACAAACAATATTTCTTTGGAGAGTTTGTCAACGCGTTGAATTGGTTTTCGACAGTTGCAACATAATTGGGCAGTATTTTGTGTTTATGTTTGGGATTTTTATTGTTCTAATGTTGTAGGTGTAATTATTATTAATAGAACCGTAAATGAAATTTCACGGGAGTTTTAAATTTGACATTATCACTATCAAGTATTGGGCCACATTTCGCTACCATATAAATGTACCAATGTACGTGCTGTATCGCCTTGAACTTTTTTTTTTCATGAATCGCTGTTACGATTTTTATTTGCCATCATCTGGTACTTCTAATCCATTTCTTTTCAATAGTTGTCTATAATTTATGTACTTCCATTTCTGGTAACCTTTTCAACCTCTTTCAGTGTTCATTGAATGATTCTTGAGCAATATTTTTTTCAATTCTGTCAGTAGTAATTGCTAGGTAGATATTTTCATACTCATCATCATATCCAATAGCTTCCAAAATCGATCGTTAAAGTTCACTTGGCTCATTCCCCTCACCTCGAATCTTTTCCTGTTCCAAACTACCTTGCTTGTGGCTTTTTTCAAGGCATCTGAGCATGGTTCTTGTATTTCTAATTGTTTTTCTCGATGGGTT